AATTGTCAGGGCGATGTCGGTCCTGAGAACCATACTGAAACCAACCGAAACCGTGCTGAAACCACCTGCAGCTGTGCTGAGTGGGCACGAGGGCAGGTGGTGCGTAACAAGGGCCCAAAACCGTGGCTCGCGCCCGACACATTCGGTTGTTAATTAAGATGGGCTGCTGCCTGTAGGCTTCGGTGAAGTTTGGAGGCCTCTTATTTGGATGCATTAGTGTAAGTTTCTATGAATGTGGGGAATGATGAGAGGCGTACAAACGCTGATATATATATATATATATATATATATATATATATATATATATATATATTTACAGGGAGCATGCTTACGGTAGCTGTGAACGCATGCACAGTTCCAGAAAGCCATCAGCACCACTGATGAAATATAATTAGCACGCAAGACAGATCACCGAGTGCATCGGGCAAGACGTGGGGCGCGACGTCCCACCGCAGCCACACCAGTGAAACCATGGCCAGGACGAGCCCACTTGGCCGACGGCGTTGGCGTGTTCTTCCGCGGCGTGCCGATCCAGGGGGTGAACGCCAGCCATAGGAACGGCTGATAGCTGCATGGCGCTGCGCTGTATGACGCTCCGTCGCATGGCGCTACGTCGCATGAGGCTCCGTCGCATGGCGCTGCGTCGCATGACGCTCCGTCGCATGGCGCTGCGTCGCATAATGCTGCGTCGCATGATGCTGCGTCGCATGAGGCTCCGTCGCATGGCGCTGCGTCGCGTGACGCTGCGTCGCATGATGCTGCCTCGCATGAGGCTCCGTCGCATGGCGCTGCGTCGCATGGCGCTAGGATGTCACTGGCGTAGCCGGTGGTCGGGATACTCACCCTTCCCCCCACCCCCACCCCCACCCCCGGTGGCGTGCACGGCGTCAGGACAGCGGTCCTTTACGTACCGAGTGGTCTGTCTCCTTAACGAGTTGCTAATGGATGTGAGAAGACCGGATTCGATAACTCTGCCACGTCATTCTTGGCGCGACAGCACTGTATGATACTTTCTGTGTTTTCATGTGTCGGTATGTTTTAATCCCTTATCATTTCCGTTGTTTTTGGCATGCTGTTTGATCTCTTTGACAAATAACATACACACGCGTTTGTGTGGAGTGTTGCCTGATGTCAAATAGACAATAAGTAAACTGTCGATGGTGCTCAGCGTACGAAGTCCAGCCGGCGGCGTTGGTCACCAGCCTCACCACACGCCGCCAGGCACCAATGCGGTTGTAAGCGTCCCCGCGGGTTCCGAGGTCAGGACAGGTTCCGTTGTTGTCGTCGCCTTCAGATCGCGGCTGCGGGACGGGAACTGCTGTCACGGGGAGGTCGGTCTGAGCGAAGACAGGTGCGTGCCCCGAGACTCCTGCGTGCTGCCGTGTCGCTCGCTGTGATGATATCACAGAGGAGCGGCCGGTCCGCCCGAAGTAGCCGGAGGGATGAGGTGAGCCCCAGCGGCACCGGTGGCACGGGCTGCCATGCCTGTCAGCAGCGGGGCCCGGAGCCGCACCGGCTGTCCCCGGTCAGCTCAGCACCAGCGGCGTCCCGACGGTGCTGAGCTCGCCGGTCTGCTGACCGGCCGGGTTTGCGGGCTACTGGTGCTGACTGCGCAGCTGGCAGCGCCTGGCGTGTAGCGCGCCGGCCCGCTGCGGCAGCCGGTGTGGCCGGAGCGTCTCCCGCCGCGGCACCACCGCACGGGATACCACTGCACGGGATACCACTCCACGGGGTACCGCCGCACGGGTACCACCGCGCGGGATACCGCTGCACTGGATACCACTCCACGGGGTACCACCGCACGGGATACCGCTGCACGGGGTGCCACCGCACGGGATACCGCTGCACGGGATACCACTCCACGGGGTACCGCTGCACGGAGGACCGCTGCACGGGGTGCCACCGCACGGGATACCGCTGCTCTGGATACCACTCCACGGGATACCGCTGCACGGAGGACCGCTGCGCGGAGGTATCACGGCTCGGGACACCACTGCACGGGGTAACACTGCACGGGGGTATCACTGCACGGGATACCACTGCACGGGGTACCGCTGCATGGTGTACCACTGCACGAAGTACTGCTGTACGGGGATATCACTGCACGGGGTAACACTGCACGGGGGTATCACTGCACGGGGTAATGCTTCGCGGGGCACAGCTACACGGGGTACTGCCGCACAGGGTACAAGGGGTATTACTGCACACCCCCACCATCCCTCACGGAATCATAGTCAAGAGGGGGTCGGAGGCGCCCCGTCGGCCCAGGGCGAGTCTCGTGAACTGGATGGACACGATACCTGCGCTCTTGCCACTACCCTGGGTCCAGTTTAACGTAAACGAGTTCCTGACGAAGGCCAGCTTCCAGTGGGAGAACATGGCGACCGGGTACAGGTTGGGAAGGTCGATCTCACTTGAAGGGCGTCACCAAGCGATGCATACGCTGCTGCATCCGTTGTTTTATGTCGTGTACGCAGGCACTTAGCGTCTATTATTGCATCACAATTACAAAACCTTCCTCTACAGATGGCATGTCCTGCATGATGTAAAAACCTATTTGCGCAGCACCCTTAAAGGAGTGTTGGACGTTTGGATGGGTTTTGGAATTGAAATAGTCAACTTGAAGATCATTCGGTGCAGTTTACAATCCCGCTTTTCTTAAGACCTAAAGCTATCTAGTTTCTGAGCTACACGCCCGCGAAGATGTGCGGACTATCTCGTGCAGCCTATTTCAAGACCATCTGAGCGTCCATGACGCTATAACAACGTCATTCAAACCCTGCCATTCCATTGGCCATGCGGAAATCACGGCCTACAAAAAATGAAATTGTCGAGTCGTTCATCTTTGGCGTTCGTGAGCACGATTGGCAGATATAACGGGCGTCAACTGGCTCATAATCAACGTTGTGCAAGGTACGATATCACAATCAAACAAAGACGTATTGAGGAGCATATTCACTAAATAGCGAAATTATGTTGCCTGCAACAATCTTTTCCATTCGGAAGTTTGTTAATAGTTATAAGTGGACTTATGTCATCATATATGGTGCTTGCTTCATCGCCTTCAACTGTGAAACATTCCCTTTAAGGCCTATCTTGCTTATATGAAGTATTGAACAAAGATGTAGAATCCAAATGAAAACCACACGTGTCTCCCAGTCGCGGTTCGCGTCATTCGCAATCGAGATGTGAAATACGCTGGAAGGACCGGATAGAGCTGGAATGCTTCTCACGTGATGTAGTCAACCATCAACCATAAGAGCAGCAACCGACCAAAACATCATATATTTGCTATGTCCGCCCAATGTCGGACTTCTTTCTGTGGAGAACAATTATCTTATTTCATGAACTCTTGTGGACTATCTTCATGGGCTTGTGTTATTGTCAGGTGTCAGTCAGATAGACCTTCACATACCTTAGCTTATATCACTTTAGCTTGGCTTAGCTTGGATATCCTTAATTAGGTTGGAAAACTGGTAGAGAACTTAGTTATATGCGTTAGGTCGTGCGCCGAACGGATAAGATGGGTTAGCGGGAAAACGTGACCGATGGAGTTGCTTATTCGCGCGCTGTCTGTAGACGTCTTCTCCAAGTGTGAAGTGAGAGTGGAAACCAAGTCATCTGGACTTTCCATGAAGTAATGGGTGCACATTCAACAATTATATGTAAATATACATCCATATATATGGTATATATATATATATATATATATATATATATATATATATATATATATATATATATATATGGTACCACGTGTCAAAAACTAGATGTCAGAAATATTTGTGGGGACGAGACACGTGGTTGTCTCAATACCCCCCGCAGCTGTCCACCCGTCCATGGTTCGCTTTAACGATAACACGAAAAGCTACTGCTCAGGTAGTAGCTGACCATTTTCAGCTGGACATCTTTTCCATGATTTTTCAAACAGCTGGTCTAGACAGTGCGCGAAAGGAGGGCGTCATTTTTTTTGGGGGGGGGGGGGATGTTAAGATTGGGAAGACACGTGCAGGTGCTGGACGACAATTGTTTTGAACGATCATGGTTAAATAGAGTAGCTGGAGTGACGTGTGTGATTGGGAGTAAGATGAGGCTGTTGATTCGAGGTGGAATGCACTCTGTTCGAATTCGAGCATGGGCAGAATTCGTGGGGCACTTGTTTTTGGTCTGTTAGTGCCACTCACGTGTGAGCAAATGGACTCATCCGCTGTGAAATGCTTATGCATTAGATCGAAACTGAGATGAGCGCGCAGATCCTCCTGAACACGTATTATTGCTACATCATTTTAACATTTTTCTAGGCTAAATTTTTTAGTCATGCACCCTTTATTACAAAGGCTGGCGTATGCCCCGGTGACCTAATGTTCCAAATTCCGGTCAGATTGCTAGTCGGCACTCGTCGCCGCTCGATCCAGATGAGAAGAGTGCGCCACCAGCGTACCACCAGGTGTCGGGCCGGGGCCTGCATGCGAATGTCTCGACGTTGTGATGAATGTTACAGATTAACCGGACAGCTAACTATGGTGAAGAGCATCCCCGTCGCGACTGACTCTGTAATGAAATAGGCTCATGGGCGAGGCTGAATGCTCTGAATTTTCGTGTAATGTTTTGAATTTATGGGAGTTTTACTTTATTTGACATATGAGATTTATGTGCAGGTAGTACGAAGCAGATACACTGTTTTTTGCTTTTATAGCAAACTTCATATGTCTCAATCCCGACCTAGACGTCACTTGGTTGCATTGCTGCGGGGCTAGAAGATCCGATTATCTGCGAACGAACGGCAAATGATCTGAGGCGCCGGGATCGAATCGGATCGGATAGGCTTCACCTTATAGTGAAATTTCAGTAATTTCTAGGGGTATTTCGGCAATTTTAAATAACACCTCTAGTTTTTAAAGAATATTGTATTAAACCGCTAAATTTGGTAGCAATTTCAATTGGCCATCTAACTCAAGGTCCTAGATTTGGCTGCCGTTCGTTGTCAGTCCGATTTGTACCATCGCGTTGGGCGCGCTGAGCGTTGTCGTGCCGGGAGCGGTGGGTGTGTGTCGATGTGATTGGTGACTGAACAGTTACGCTCATATTGTCCAGTCATTCTGTGTGCATTCGACATTTCCAAAGTGGAGCCTCCTGTGCCCGGATGCTGTTGCTGAATTAGCTGTTCAGTGCAAAACGTACCAAATTCGAAGTGAAGAAACAAAAGTTACTTCTGTACATTATCACTAAGCTGTCGAAGCTGACAAGCCCAGAAAAAAATGTGGCCTGTGTATGTTGGTAAATGTGAAAGCAAGATGTAGCTGACCTTGTTCCAAACTTGAATCGGTATCGTTCCATTTGCACTCACAGTATAGGTGACAATTGACCTCATCAGCTTGATACGGTAGCGGCTTGAGCTATGCCTATCTGTGTGTAGCATCAAGCCAGCAGTGCATTTTATTGAAGATTACCAAGGGACCATCCAGTATTTGAAGATTTCAAGCATGGGGAGACAGTGCCTGCTCCCACTGGAACTGGCAGATTGCCTTACAGACAGCCCACATTTCCGTCAAAATCTTCATGCATATGAAAAGGAACTGGAAAACACTAGTGCTTCAATCAAAACATTGGTCAAGGACATCAAAGAGGTGTTGGATGCTGCTAAACGTGAGTAATGGCCTGATTGATTATGCATATGTTAGTGGCTGGATGTGCTGTGGCATTGCAGTGTATAGTACTACTGCTTTGACTGCAGGACTAAGAATGAGAGTTTTATTGTGTTTGTTCTGAATCAGTCCTGAGTTTATAGGTCACCATGAAGTTTTAAGAAATAGTTGTGTGTAAAAAGTGCAACAAGACATATTTATTTGTCTTTATGGAACCAATGTTCATTATGATATACAACTAAGTGAGATGCATTTACAGCATTATGTGAGTATGATTTCAAAGTGCTTGAAACCCACAAAATTAAGCACCTGAGATTTCCTTATGCTTTGGCTTGTATGTATTCTAACTATACTCTCTTTTGGTCCTGGACATGAGTTGTTTCACTTAAGCAAAAACTCTGCAGCAGCTTCTCTGAGTCTGAAAATACTGATGTACAATATGATAAACTTATGTATCCACCTATTTAGATGGAATTAGTTTTGACTGGTGTGCTGTGTGTTTGGGTTCTGTTCCAGCACCTCCGAGTCTTGTTAGCATGGCATGTCTGGTTCAATTATATTTCTGACCATGCAATGTATGACTAAATTGTAGTTTTAAATTGAGCATTCAACTCATGCAACAATAATTCATGGAGTAACTGGTCTTGCAGGCTTCATAAAAGCCTATTGATTTTATTAATAGATCATCTAGACATGCCTGTGTTCTTCATTGAGCGCATATGTTAGGTGCAAAATGTGTCCTTTCAAGTACATTTATTTGCTTTCTGTTTTAATGTCTCAAACAGCATATTTGGTTGGCTTTTGCTTAACTCTGACTCAGTTTCACAGCAAAAGCTTAAACAAATAGATTCATGACAACCCAAGTAAAATATCAGTGATTTTTAGTCTATTTTGACTCCAGAGTCATGGTGGAGTCAGAATGCATCAAAAATAGGAGGCCCAAAGGGCCATGCTTCCCCACAAGGCAATCCGCTGTCAGCAGCACCAATTCCAGTATTTTAGTGGTTCATATCCCCAAATCCTTGGTTGTCCACCTTCCACAGTATCATTATCAAACTACAGGCCTGTTGGTTCAACTACCAGGCATTAGTACCTGGTGATGCTCATCCTAATGTCTTCTTGAACAGTGCACATACTTTCTCAAAGTGGGTTGGGGAGGAAGAGTGGGCAATAAAAACTTACAAAACCTACCACAAATACACACCAATAAACAGAGTTTTCTCCAGACTGGGCCCACATTCTTAAAAGTTTGGTTGAGGGAGGGAGGGAGCTGAAGCCAAATTCTGGAGTGCTGGAGCTCTTGCTCAACTGAATATGAAATGATACCTGTGATCCCAAAGTGTTCTTTGAAGATAATATTTCCCTGGACTTTGAAGTAATAAGCTTACAGGGGTCTCACTTTTGTCATGCATTACTATAAACATCATGATATGGCTCATTTGCAGTTGGAGCTGGCCAGTTTAAAATACCCCAAGCCCTCTGCAGGGATTGCGCCAAGCGCCGTCGAGCGCCGCTCCCTTACTTCCGGGGCTGGGTGGGGTGGGGCTTGGGGGGGGGGGGGGAGCGTAATCGACAGCCGGGCAGGACCACCAGCTGTTGGAGCACTTGTGCCAGCAGTGCTGGCTGGGTCCGACTGGTGCGCACGTGCAGGTACACGGACAGACGGCCAACCCAACCCCGACCTGACATGGAGAGCACGGTAGATGTAAGAAATTATCTGTGTTTTTAAATGGAGTGGTTAACTCATCCCTCTGCTATAGCAAGCCCAGCCTCATTTGACACGTCATATGTGGTATAGGTCATTTGTCAGGCAACATTTTGAACAGCTGCCACGCTAACCAACTTCCCTTAAATCCGTTTCGGTTTCCAGTTCCATCTCCTGAAGTCCGCATCGGTTTTGACCTCAAATTATGCTGCGCGCGCTGCCTAGAGTGCGGGTCTGAGTCAACTCCATTCGCTGTAAGGGTGTTCATGGACGATTCCGCCCAAAACTGAAAAAAACGAGTAGTCTACAAGTCTGGAGGGGGGGGGGGGGGGGGAAGGAGAGTCTCGCTGGCTCGTTCGCACTATTTGTCCTAATCCTCGTTTGCTCCGATTGTCATGAGCTATCGCGAACATGCTAACATATCGTCAGATTTAGTCTTTCGCTCCACTGAGCGTGCCGTAATCTTCCGGTTGGACGTCCCCAATCTTCGAAGGGAGTGGGGCGCAAACATCCAGGTCTCCCGAGCGCGTTCTGAACCGCTTGAGGGGCTAAAGTTGAGCTCGCTGAGCTCGAAACCTTTTTGGACACGACCTGGAGGTTTCAGCGTTCCAAAATAGATATCAGAGATAATGTAACCGGTTACGCGTTACAATAAGAGCGCGTTGACAAAGTTCTGCGCACCGGACAGGTGGAGATCGACATCCCGCCATAAGTCACTGATTATGCGGAGCGCAGCGTTTTTCTAGTGGTTCCGGAGGTAACCAGTGACTTTAAAGTAAACATTGTTGAACAAGTGTGCGACCTGGGAATGTTGAGTAAAGTCAGGGTCACACCAAGTCAAAGCGGTCCGTCGGACCATTTTGATGTGGTTCAAAACGGCAGGCATGTGCTGATATCGTAGTAGAGGTTATTCATGATCAATTCAGATCAGGTCAGGCCCTGGGTATTGCCGGGAGCAGTGTTCAGAGACCTTGCAGTGCGCCGTTCTCGTCGCACATGATTGAACAAGTTTATGGCCTTGTCCAAAGTCACTGCCATAGTAATGGACTGGTGACACCTGGCGATCTCACGGTGCTGTTCGAAAGAGAATCGTGGCACCCTTCCACTTCAACCAACTTTGCTCCGCGCCCGTTCGGAAAGCTAACAGAGACAGCAAAACATGACTTCATCAAGTTTGGCCAGACCTGACACGTCAAACACAAGCAACGGCTTAAAATGGTCTGCCAAAAATGGTAGATCACGAACTGGCCCATCACTGAAACCACCAGTTTTGCATTTTTACTCGAGCACATTGCTGTGGAGTCGGCAGTGGTTCTTTCTAGCCCCGTCCCACCCACCCCGCGGGACTCAGCGAAACCGGTGAAGCCGACGACGGTGAACTGCGAGCCATTGCAGGCCATGTCTCGTCTCCAACATTGCTACCCAGACCCAGCGTGTTCCTGGGCGGCTTGCGCACGCCCCGCCGCCCGTCGCCCGTCCCCTGGCGCCGCCGGCCCAGCCCGGCCCAGACTGGGCCGCGAGCGGAGCCGGAGCCGGCCGGGCCCAGCCTGCGGCGCTTCTGTCAGCCGGCGGCGGCTGTCGCTTGAGTCATGCTTCCGCCGGCGGCCGGCCGAGACCGCCGCCGGACCCTCCGCGTGCCAGGCTGGACCCCGCCGACGCAGCGCCGGCGCCCCGCCGCGATGGCGCGCCGGTCCACGCCCAGCTCTGCCGCGTGTCAGAGGGGCGCACGCCGACGCGGGACAGGGCCAGCTGGCGTCAGACGCGTACTGTTAGGGTTGCAGACTGAAAAGACGGGGTTCGGTCCCCTCGTTTGGCGGGGTTGTTTTGTTCTGCGATGCCTGCGCTTGGTCCCTTCATGCATACCCTGACGTCATCCATCGTGGTCTCAGTATGCAACTACCCTCCCCCGGAATAAGTTGGTGCCAGTGTGCTGCGCAGCCTGGTGTTGTAGCTGAACACTTGGGGACCATCGCTCACGGTTCGTGTGACGGAGTTGCACCGGTGCACGTCGTTGGTGACTTACTTTGCTTCGTCCTTGGGTGTGTTTGACCCGTTGGTCCGGTCGCTTCCCCGCCCCTCTCTGTGTTACCCTCGATGGTACATACGACTCTCTGTCTCTCTGGTGGCGTACATCTCCGTTTCCGCGTAAACGCAGCTTCCCTCGATGCCGCTCTCTGCTCTGTGCCTGTCTCCTCCGTCCCGTCGTCTGACCCTGTCCACGTCTTCGGCAGAGCTGTCGCGGTGCCAGCGGGCGTTCGCCAACAGCCTGGACAAGTTCCAGTTCGACTGCATCGGCGGCTCGCAGACGGACGACGAGATCGTGATCGCCGGCTCGCTGAAGCAGTTCGCCGCGCTCATCCACCTGATCGAGGAGGAGCGACAGCGCATGGTGAGCGCCGGCACGGAGGGCGCGGCGTCCACGGCCGTGGACGTGTGGAGAGGCTCCTCCACCTGTGGAGGAGCCGGCAGCGGGGAGGCGTGGGGGGGGGGGGGAAGGGGCAGGGTGCGACGGGAGCCACCGAGAGGCGAGAGTCTCGCGTTGCACGATGCCGTTGTCCTTTTAGAGTGGGCCAAAGACATTTTGTACGATATGTTGTGCTTGGGGGTTTGGAGCAAGGCGTTTTCGATTGGTCATTTGGGGTTTGGCCGCATGGCTATCTTCCGTACTGGCGTTGGTGTCTGCGCATCGGCGTCGGCGTCGACCTCGGCATCGGCGTGGGCGTCGACCTCGGCATCGGCGTCGGCGTCGACCTCGGCATCGGCGTCGGCGTCGACATTGGCATCGGCGTCGGCATCGGCATCGGCATCGGCATCGGCGTCAACGACAACGTCGTCGTTGGCTTCGGTGTCGGCGTTCTCGCCAAGCATAGTTTACTAGGTGGATACAAACCACGCCATCAAGGTGTTTCCAGTTACGGGATAATTTACCGCAGCCTTTTCACTGAATAGTCATGTAAATCCTAGTGTGCCCCGTAAAGCTACGACACGATCGGCCATGCTAAAGCTCGCCTGCCCTACCATTAAATTTGCAAGACGCACGAAACTGCTACCTGTCGTGCTTTTATTTTGGGCCATTGGCGTAAGATAAAACAACGTCTTGACTGCACCGACCCTTGGTATTCATCGCTGAAACAGGAATGAGAGGTCGAAACAAATGCAAGCTTTTTGGCCTTTATGTTTGCACGGTACGAATAAAAATTTGTCCAAATTGTATTCAACCTTCATGAAAAGCACCATGCTGACCACAATTACTAACCACAAGCGTTACGGGCCATTTTACCCATGCTATTCGATCAATTACCAACCTAGCGCCCTGCACAGTCATGCAATTTTAAAGTCGCGCTCGAGACGGTGCACAACAAGGTGAAATTTCTCATGGAGGGACATCAACCTAACTTGACTTTGAAGGCCAGCTTGTGCTGCGTTTGCCCCGCCTGTTCGCGTCTCGCCTATGTGTCGCGGCGCCACGGTAGGGCCATTCCCGCCGTGCTGTCGGCCGCCGTCGTGTGCCACGGTGGCCGGTAGTCGCGCCGCGGCCGCCGCCGGCCTGCAACGCTGGCCGGACCGCGGTCGGTACGTGGGATGACCGGGTGATGTCACCGTTCCGTAGAGCCTTGCTCCGGCGGTGCGGGGTGGTCCGCGTGGGTGGGCGCGCGCGGGTGTGATGGACCGAACACTCGGATGCATGACCTGAAAGGTATGCAATACATAAGCCAGGAGGACGTTGCACTGGGAAAGGCCGGCCTAACAGTAAACAGCGGACGTGTATTTATGATCGTGGTTTTCCGATATGCCACGAGGAGTATATCACCATCCATAAGCTGTGCTGTGCTATACGAAAGGCGACAGCATTTATCACGCGCGCCGATCGCGCACGCCGGCCACCGGGCTGGACCCTGGCCGGGGCTCCGCCGGACGGCGCGGCCCGTATCAAGCCGGCCAATGGCGGTCACCGCCACAGAACCGGGGCAGCGGATCATTTTTAGGCCGAACTGGTTTGCTCGTAGCGTTTCTGGGCCGGGCCGATTCCGATCAAGCGGCTGCTTCTGGGTGTGCAAGGACTGGTTTGGCTAAGTGTTACTTGGCTAAGTTTGGCTGCCCTGGACCGCTATGGTTCTCGCGGAGGGGATTGCTGTATTAACGGCTGAAGCGTGAGAGTTGCTCCGTGACGTGGTCCTGAGAGGTTCCGTGCCTTCCATATCAGTCTCCTGACACGGAGACAGCAGAAACCCGTCCAACATTTGGCACTTTTTTGTGACGGGGGAATTTCTTTTCAAACGCGCACACCCATTCGCAATGGTTAAGCATGTTGTTAACTATCTCGAGGAACAGAAAATGTTCACTGCTTTGAGTTTGTTTCACCACGACCAGACAGTATCCAACGCCAACTTCGTGCATGGAAGCCACCTTTGTGACCGAGTTTTTCCTCGCATTGCGCTGTCTCGGGGTAGCGCGAGACTACGGGCAGCTTACGAAAACCGATGTCAATTGTTTGTAACCTCAGCGGGGGGGGCGCGTCGTATTCTGGCGCGGCACAATGGCGCCCTGATATGATCTGGGACATTCTTTTCACCGGGATGAGGAAACGGGCTCTCTCCTTGCCAGCTAACCACGGACAAAACAGCGGTCCGGGTGCCGAAAGTGAGCCCTGTGAGCGTCGGCGCGTCCGGACCTTGACCGCGGTGGGGGCAGCTCCCTGCCAACTCTGCGCACGCCGGTTTCGTAAAGTCATTTTCGCTGCGATGGCTCTTCAACATCCGGAAGCGCTCGGGCAACGCTTTGTTGGGAGCGCGCCGCTGTGGGCGGGCCGCGGGCCGATTGCCAGCAAACGTCCGCCTACGGCATAACGGTCGGAGCGTATGCTGGCTCGAAGGTGATGCCGTTTGGCTTTCATCTCATTTGCCGGCACGAACTACAGAGCCTGCCGACTGGGACCGGGACTAGAGCGCCTTCGGGTGAACTCCCAACGCTGCTTCTTGATCTTGATGTTTGAAACCATTCAGTTACCAGCCAGACCGCTGGCCGAGTGAGTCTAAGTTGAAATATATAATTTCCAACGTGATCGGTCGGACCGCCACGCTCTTTCGAACCCAATATCTTTGAAATCACTGATGGAATGTTCACAGAGCTATAGTAACAGGAATCCCATTTTCTTTTTCGACGTTTTGCTGCTTGAATTGTTAGTTATTTGAACACAACGTGCTTCATCAGACGGTTTTCCTGCGACGTTGCAATATGACCACAGTTTCACCTCACTCTTTCCATTAAGGTGGCGAACGTGCAATTTTCAAGTCGCCGGAAGGCTGGAAAATGTGGGTCGGAAACTGGTCCAGATCTCGGGAACGGGCCATCGCAGCGACGTGGAACTGATAACAACGGGGGAGACAACAATCATGTTGGCACAAGTGCGAGGGCCGTTGTATACAGACAACCGCTCTCCTTCGCAAATCATGGACCCGCCCATTTTGAGGCGTTTGCAGGATTGATGTCAGATTTTAGTGACCAGATCAGGCAGACACGAAACGAACCGGAAGGCGCAGGCGAATGCACCATCTTCAACTGGGTGTCAGGTTTCAAAACGATCCGGCCCGTAATCGACCAAAAGTCACAGTCATACATTCTCCGAAACGGACCTCGAATTTAAGACGCCTGGGTCTAAACCCAGGTAGATAGGATTATGGAAAGGACTTAGGCACGTAGCCCCGTTTGTTGCTACCAGCATCGGCCCAACAGTTTTGCATTGTTTGCAGGACTTCGATCACGGTTACCAACACAGTAAGCGATCTCAAAGTCGATTTTGTCGACAAAATTTGCGAATCCTAACGGGATTTGCAGCCGGGTATCTGTAGCCGTCTTTCATTCATTTACATGATAACGAGGGGCAAAACTCCCTTCTGGTATCACCTGGCTCGTCCCGTGCCGTGCGAGGCGTCGTGCAGGTAAAGAACCGAGCAATTCTGAAACGCCATATGTAAGAAGCACATCATTGTTTCCGGAGCTTTCACCGTTCACTGTAACTCCCATCCACGTATGGCGCCTCAGACACAACAGCGCCACGGCCGTCCCCCAACCGGTTCAGTGCGCCGAAAACCTGCCGCGCGCCGCCACGGTCCGCGTGACGTCACGTAATCCTGTCGTCCGGCTCACAGTGAGCTGATGCTGTGCAAGGCGTGCTTGGTCGAGGCGTGTCCCATCTGGGGTGCGAGGAAATGACTCCCGCCCCGTTCAAACGTGAGGGTTGTTTGGCCGCCGGCGTATATACACAGATAGGTACATCAGGATCTCCCAAAAACGGACAGCACTCTTGATAACCGGGACCCGTGATTATCTTGCGCACGTGGGGAAAATCAACAAAATGCACTGGGCTGACATTTGGTCATGCACACCCTCATCCCTTGACCACGAACTGCAGATTTCCACCGCTGTTGCCGTAATCTTATTCTCATTAGTGGAGTTTGGCGCTAGCTGAGATGAAATATTCGTGTTGTAACAGACGCTGAATGTGATCTGGAACTGAAGACCGAGATCGTTCTGAGAACTTATTAAGCTGGCCAGTACCATAGGTACTGGCCAGCTTAATGCGTTCAATGAGTACTAAAGGCCGCTGCCAGTGGCGTGCGACTGGATAAAAAGCCACATTTGCGCGTCAGATTTCCCTCCCGGCCCCTGATCTCGAAAGGGGTCCGATGTTTTTCACGAGGCTCGCTGGATCGACACTGGGACAAGGCTCAGTGCTGTAAGGAACTACCTTTGAGCCGTGGAATACCGTCATTCGAGCTGTCGGGCTGGTCCAGAGCCGGCTCTGCGCTGGCTCAGGCATGGTCAGGCCGGTCCAGAGCCGGCTTCGCGCTGGCTCAGGCATAGTCAGGCTGGTCCAGAGTCGGCTCCGCACTGGCTCAGGCATAGTCAGACATAGTCAGGCTGGTTCAGAGCCGGCTCCGCGCTGGCTCAAACATAGTCAGGCTGGCTCAGAGCCGGCTCCACGCTGGCTCGGGCATAGTCTGACTGGTTCAGAGCCGGCTCCGCGCTGGCCCACGCTTACAGCAGCCAATACCGGCCAATGCCGACGACATTTGTCGATTGACGCCGACCACGATGTCTGTCTGCGTCTGATCTGCGCCGCAGGAGATGGTCATGTGCAGACGGTATAGGGTACAGCCAGCTTGAAGTAGCGCGAGCGACTTCACTCTCGCTTGCATAGCAACTGCGAATGTCGGGCGGCAACCGCATACGTGCCATTGACAAGCTTCCAAAGCCTTGTATGCTCCCAGACTGAGATTGACTTCGATCGTCACCATCAAATGATGTGTCAAGGTAGGCCAGGCCGATACATTCCAGGAGTTCGGAACGAGAACAATAAGCAAAGCATCGTTGCCCTAGCATTGCCAACAGCGTATTCAGAAAGACGCGCAATACGGAGTGAGAGAAATGTAGGCTTCGACGCTTGAGATCGGCTGGCTGCGGCTGGCATTGCTGCGCCTCTGCACAGAGGTCAGGCGTCCGCGGCCGATGGTCGGGGGAGGGGGAGGGGGTAGGCGTGACGCGCGTGGCCGGCGGTGTGCCGTGATCGCGCGCCTGCCGTCCGTGTTCACCGATGTGGGGCCGGCGCGCCGCGGTCGCCGCCGGTCGAGCGCCGCAGAGGTCGGTGGCGCGCCCGCTGCCTTGAACCTGCCCGCTCCGAAATGACAGCGTGACTTAGGGGTATGGAACGCGCCCCAGTTCTGCTTGGTGGTGGATGGGTGGAGTGTGCGTTCATGCTGTCGCTCTGTAGGGGCGGGCCCGAAGGGCGGCCCACATGGTCCCTCACTCTTACTGATGTGAATATATGTTTTAACCTGCGCACACATATATATATATATATATATATATATATATATATATATATATATATATTCATATACCTGAATAGGGTTAGACTGGGACGGATGTTTAGCGAAGAACTGCCAGTACTATTGCTATGATTGAACCAATTGCACTTGCCATTCACATGCACCACTTGCACGAAATGGGATGAAACGGAATGACTTTTTGCACAATTGCACGGAATGAAATATATGTTGGTGCATTGGCCACGCCGGCGCCAGTCGCGTCTGGAAAGGCTTCATGATGGTCTAGCGGACACGCTGGCTCCGGTTTAGATGCAGTAATGCAAGGACATATTCTGTTAGACTTTTTCGTCAAAGCACATACTTCAAAGCTGTTCGCCACCTCGTGATTGCGGCTTATGCTTCCTGCCAGCCGCACCGTGACGCTCCGAATTCAGAGCAGCTGTGAAACATCCATTTTGGAAGAGCGTCGCGACGTTTGAACACATGACACCCCGCACTGGAAGTCGATTACGTGTCATTTCAGCCTGTCGCGACCCGAATCACGGTCCGAGCAGGTGTGTTTCACAATGCCGGAATACTGCGCCCGCGGTTCGGTCGATGTAACAGCATGCCATTGCCCGGTTACATGACGCCTGTTGGCTGCGGGAGCTCGGCCGCCTCCCGCCAAACGTTGGCATCATGGCCAGCCCCGCCTCCACGCCGGACTGGCTCTGCTGTCAGCCAGCTGCGTGCGACCCGTGCTGCGGGCAACGAGGCGTTGGCGCGCTCGCCCGACATCCTGGAGGTCTGGAGGTGCATCCAGTGTTCTCGGTGCCGTGCTCCTTCGGTCGCGCGACCGACGTGGGGTCGTGACTGCGTGCGCTGCTCCCGCCGCCCGGCTCGTGTCGCGCTGCCCGTGCTCTGGTTGGAGGTCCCTGCACGGCAGCGTGGGGTCACGACCACGTGCGCTCCTGGCCGCCACCTGCCCGTGCCCCGGCCCGCGGTGCCTGGCGCGGCAGCCTCCGGAGGGTGCTGGAGGCAGCGCTCGGCCGGCCGGCCGCCGCCGTGATCGAGTGCCGTGGGAAGTGTGGCGACCGCCGCCGCCGCCGCCGCCGCCGCGCGGGCGGGCCGCTCGGCGCCGCACGCACGCGCCGGTAGCGGGCCCATCACTCACGCGGCGCATTGAGGTCCGACTGAAGGCACGAACCGACGCGATCGGTGCGTGATTCGGGTTCGCTGCTGTCGGCACGTGCTCACATGCTAACGTGCCCCGGCAGCAGGCGGTGGTACGCTGTCAGTTGCGGAGAGCTGTCATCACTGAACGTTCGGGGTTAGTTAGCGGCTGTTGGGAGGCTCAGTTCTCGTCCTCGTCCGTCCCCTGGGCGCTGCTCGATGCGAGATGGCGCATACTGCGACGGCCCGAGCAGTCGTGGAGGTCAGCCCGCGGGCAGGAATGTCCGAAGTGCATAATGAAACAATGCGGTCGTGTTGTAAATAGCGTCAGTTCCGGTTTCGCGTTGTTATGCCAATGGAATGCGTCTCGCCCCCATGCCGTGAAAGCCGAGTTGTATTGGTTTGTCGAGGTGAGTCAGAGGCCGGGACAGGATCGAGCCAAGCCACACGCGATGGCAGGTTCATCACGGTCAGGAAGAATTGTGGCCGTACTGCAATGGCTACCTTCATTTATGTCTGCTAAACACGAAGTGAGCTGATCAGCGGAAGTGATAACAGCGCCATAGAACATGCCATTGGCATGCATGCAAGGCTTCATTCGCCCGAAGCAGCACCACAGCCAGACTACAATAGCGTTTAGCCAAATCGCTGTCCCACGCCCACCACTCGTCCCTCATCTCCATCGCCGTTTTTGAGCTTTGTGCATGCGCGGTATAACGCTGATCACATTTGCCCGGCTCATAGTGGGTAATTTCTCAGAGAACCAAACGCTCTTAAAGTTGAATTCATCGGTTGTTTGAGTGATATGAGCTCGATGGCTGGCTTCTGGATCGTTATTTTTTACGGAGCATAAGTTTTCGAACGTTCAAGTCACGTACCGCCAGTTTACTGCTGCTGCCTTTGAAAATAGCTGCCGCAAAATCGGCAAGGGCCATGACGCCGCACGGCGAAGCTGCGCTTCAGTGTGTCTGTCGTCTGTTTCAGCTGGACCATGGTCACAAGCACATCCTGGGCGCGCTGGAGTCGTTTCGAAGGACGCACATCGGAGCGGCCAAGGTGAGATCGCGCGCGTCCGACTCACACCGCAGCGGTGCCGGCGACCTGCCACGGCACTGCCTTGTCACGGCTCCCCGGCGGGCAGCTCCGGTCTTCTGATGCCGAACAGCTGAGCGTCGGACGGCCTCGGCACCGCTGCCCGCCGGCTGGGTCGGGGTGTAGTGTGACGAACGGCAGCGAGAGCGCAGGAGGCACAGCGTGCTGCAGGCAACTGATGTGACCACGCTCAGGTCTGTCTGGTGGGGGGGGGGGGGGGGGGGGGTGAGGATGGACGATGACCCCCCGGTGTTGTCTGCCGGCTGGGTGGTAGCGTCGGCCAGCGGGCTCGAAGTATGTTTGCCCGCACCTTCCTGGCAGAACGGGATCCGATAACGCGTGCGGCGGTAATCTGGACAAGGCGACCGCTGACATTAGCGCCGGCACCAGCATCTGATGCGTGCGTCCCCATCTCTCCGTGGCCCGACAATCCGCGATGACGTGGGGGAGGGGATCTCTGGGGACGAGGACGTGTTGGGCTGGGGCCGGCGGCTGTCGCCACCTCGCCGAGACAAGCGGGCCGGGGCGCCGACACCGCCGCCGCCGTGTGGGCCGACACTTCCGTCCGGTGGCGGCGCTGCAGCCTCTCCGCGTCGTCACCGTCTGCAAGCGCCGCCGCTGCCGCCGCCTCCGGAGGCCGGGCCGCTGACTCACCAGCCGGCTCTGGTGGCCGTTGAGCGCGGCTGGACGGACCGTGCCGGCTGCCGGCCGGCACGTGTCCGCCTGGCCGCTCGACCTCCCCTCCCCTTTCCCGCTGTCCGCGCCGGCGTAACGGCCGCCAGCGCAGGAGGAGGCGCGCCGAGCCGGGCGGCGGCGCGGCGCCTGTCGTCTCTGGCCGTGGCGGTGCGACGTCGGCTCCCGGCGCCCGTCGACCGGCGCTGACCCCGTCTCCAGCGTCGCCGGTGGCGGGGTGGGGCGTGGCGACGCTGCCGCCGGACCATGCGGCGCCAGACGCGGCCGTGGCGCAGTGTGACTAAGCCGGGTGACGCGGCGGTGTTTACGTCCGGCCGTTTTTATCAGCTTGTGCAAAGCGTGTCCGCGGTTCCCCCCCCCCCCCCCCCCCAGGGCGCCGCTAGTCTCGCCGCCTTTGGTGGCAATGCCAGTAGCGCGGCCGTTTGAACCAGTCTCCGGAGTCGGCGGCGAGCGGGAGGCGGTGTGCTCCGGAGCCGGGGCCGGGATCGGTGGAGGAGCACGTCCCGCCGGCGCGGCTCAGTCACGTGCCGCTCCGTACCTGCCCTCCCTCCCCCTCCCCCTCCCCTTGCCCGTACGCTCTGGAATGCGATCGGAAGAGCGCGGGGAGCGGGGAGGGGCGGCACGTCAGCCGGCGGCGGTGGCCGTCGCGGCGCCGGGCTAACTCGGCCAGCAGGGAAGGCCGCCCGGCCGGCACGGGGACGCGCCCGCCGGACCGGGCCCGGCCGGCCGACCGACCGGCCCGGCCGCTGACCCAGCCTCCGCCGGCCGACGGTCCGGACCCAGCGACCCGGGCTGATGCTCCGCGGCGGCACGTGTCGAGGCGGGGGGGGGGGGGGGGGGGAGGCTCGGTGTGCGCCGTACATTTGGATCGTGTTTGCGAGCTCTAAGGCAGATGTGTACTCGATTCCGCGTTAGCTGAATGGATTCCAGGTCCGGCGCGCGATACACGGCGTGGAGGCGATTCCGACGCGGGTGCTGAGCAGCTATTAACAATTTTCAGTCTGCTCCGACTCCAGCTCAAAAAGGCTTAGCCCAATTACAGAATGGATTCCGATGCATGCGGTCGATCGGAGGACAATCACGGGGTAACAAAGCGTTTTGTCGTCATATGAAAACTGGAATATGACAGAATATATTAGCACACGCAAATTGGCTCATACCAGCGCGTGTGTTGCATTTGTGCATATATTTGATGACAAGACAGCGGCACAAATAACCAGTGCAATTGACACGCCCTTACAACTCAATACTTACAAAAAGAAGACAGCGCTGAATCTGGAGTTTGTTTTGACTGTTTGAAGATCTTGCTCTACACATTATTGGTACAGTTGTACTACGCCGAACTTATTTTACCCCTGTTCTACACACAGTGCCGGAACGAGAACAGCTGATGTTACTTGCATTTCTACTTAAGTCGACTTATCGATTATATTTACAAACCTGGTTGGCGCTACCCACGCTCAATCCTGGCTCACGCTAGTTTGAGAAGAAATCGATTTCACCATTACTCAACTCAAGTTAGTTGGATCCCGGAGTCGACTCCACTTTTCTCCGTTTCGCAGGCTGGGCCTTAATGGGAGGAAAACTTTTTCAAACAATTTTAGTTTTACTTCATTTTTGAATATTTTTGCACCAGATCTTGCAGTCAACCGATGGAGGTGCAGCCTCTGATAGGCAAACGACTCAACTTGTGTAACCTGGAACGGCAGAACTACTTGGCACTCTGTATTTCACATGGCCTTAAACGCATGCACGCCTCCAACTGCCCGTAAAGTAGCTGAGTGTCGAGGCGATTTCTCCCTTTCAGCCTGGCTTGTTGATTCCCTTGTGCATCCCGCTTGGCATTAATTTGTGTGCATTGCGATGTTCTCCTTGGAATGAAATGCTGCGACGCGTCGTAAGGTTAATATCGTACCTAGTTCAAGGTCGTTATGACTGAAGCAAAACGGGCTGTTTACAACTGCGCCAGCATCTGCTGACTGTCCTGCACTTCCAGGAGGGACGCAAGAAATTCGAGAAGCAGACGCAGAAGTTCTGTGCTAGCTTGGAGCGCCACCTGAACCTGTCGACGAAGAAGATGGAGGACCAGGCCATGAAAGAGGTACGGCTTCAGGTGAAGCACAGCGTGCCGGAGGTCGCGCTGACGCGCCGCCGTCGCCGACTCCGCCGGCTTGTTTTCAGAGCGCGTCTGCTTACCAGCGATCGCTATGGTTGAAGCGTTGCCCCGACGCGCCAGCCGCTAAAGTTCAAGGGCATCTAAATTCGTGGTCGCGTTTAGGTCTGTGGCAGCCGGCGTTTGAGGATCGAAAGATTGGGTAGGCGGCGGCACCTCATCGCCATTCACCAAGGTTTATTTATCTGTCTGCTGTCCGGTAGTCGTTTCATGTAGTTACGACAATTCCGATTGTGCTCCAGTGTGACGTAAATTCACGACGTCTTGCGTCGCAAGCGGACGATTCGCGTTCATCGGGTGCTCACAATGTGTCGTTCCTGCGTCTGCTCATGCCGCTAGCGTGTGCTCTGCTAAGTGGGTAGACGGAGGAGGGGGGACTGGGCCGGTCAGTCCAAGCACGAGATCAGCCCCTGCTTCGGTCGCCGCGGCATGCGGATGTCTGTTCCCGCTCCTGGTCCGGCTAGGCGAGATTGTGTATATTGAACGCAGCAGCGGGTGTGCGCAGCGTCGGACCGCAGGCCGTATATCCTGGTCTGTGTATGGACTGGCTGCGATGGCGTAGCGCTCATCAGTCGGCCTGCCCGCTGCCAGCCCGCTGCCAGCCCGCTGCCTGCCCGCTGCCAGCCCGCTGCCAGCCCGCCGCCGCAGCGCCGACGGCCGGCACAGCCGGGCCTACCGCGCGTCCGCGTCTGCGGCGGCCAGCCGTGCCGCGACCGCCGCCGCGCCGACCAGACGTCTCAGGGGAGGCGAGGTGTTAAATCCGACGACGATAACAAACACGGCCGCCGCCCGCCGCCGGAGCTGGCCGGACAGGTCTGGCAGCCGTGCTGACCGCCGGGCAGTGGCACGCGTGTGTGCACGGCGGTGTTGCCCCGCTGTCTGGGCGGCGAGGCGTGCGTGCACCGTCGCCCGCCGTCCGCGGTTGACTGGCGGGGTTCGCCGGCGGCGGCCGAGGACAGGGCGACGGCTAGCCGACCACCGCCCGGCCGGCCGGCGCCGTCTGGGGTCGGCCGGTATGTCCGTGGCGCCGCGGCGGGCCGGGCCGCCGCCGCCGCTCCGGGACCGCCGCCGCCGCTCCGGGGCCGGCGCTCGTCTCGGCGTTCTTGTTTGCTCCGTGCCGCCCACACATCGCGTGTGGACGGGCTGTTTGAGGCTGCCGACGCGTGGTGAGGCGCCTCGCGCCCGATCGGCGCCGCGCAGCATCGCAGGCCGCGCGCGCGCACCAGCGGCTTCTTCTCCTTTGTTTCGTCACGATCGTGTACGGTTTCACGCCTCAGCCCGCTCCCGTACCGTCCCGGCGCTCAACCCGCGGCACCCGCAGCCCCAACGCACCACCCGCCGTGCCGGCCCGCCGCAGTTGGGGTGTCCGCCGCCGGCACCCGCGCGGCTGCCGGGGTGCGGGCGGGACCGAGATGGTCGGGTGCGACGGGTGCGCGTCGCTGATCAATGGCGGCGACGCGGCGGCCACGCACCGCCGTCCGGCATCGATCGCGACGTGCGCTCAGACGGCGCCGCCATCGAGCGCGCCTTAGCCGCCCGGTGAGCGCGCGCGGGGGAGGAGCGACGTCGCTGCGGCAGCCATGGGCCCGACCGGTGAGTGGGCGGCGCCGCCGGAGCTGGCGCGCCTGCCGACCAGCGACGTTGTCTGTGAGGGGGGGGGGGGGGCTTCGAAAATCTGGCCACGCTCGGTTGACGGTCGTGCGTGAAAATCGGGCCGATGCGTAAAGTGCGGTGGGACGGCAGGCATGTCCGACATGAAAGGCACGCAGCTGGCACACTGCTTTCGAATGTGCGTAGATAAGATGAAAGTGAGCCTGCGAGGAGTCGTTTGTGGCTTTGGTTTATGACGCGCGCTGTCGCGCATGGTTTGACGCGGAAATGGCTCCACTTGTGCGCCAAGAGTCGGGCCTGGCCGCCGAATAATCCTTTGTCCCTGCCCCGAGCGGCTCCTCCTGAGCGGCTCTTTGCCGTGTCTCGCCTGCCACCTGTGCACCTCTGACGGTGCATGCTGCGCTGCTGCGGGCGCGTCGGGCGGCGGTCACCGGCGCGGGCCGGCGGGACCGCCCGCTGGCCGGCGGACACTGCGGCCAGCACGTCCGCAGCCGGCGGCCGGTGAAAGCACGGCCGGTCGGAGCGCGCCGCGAGCCTGCGCGCCGTTTTCTCCGGCGCCGCGGCCGCCCGCCGGCGCTCCGACCGGCCGGCCGACGGCACGTCCGTCCCGCGGGCTGGGTGATCCCGGCCCGTGGTCCGTGGTCCATGGTCCGTGGTCCGTGGTCCGTTGTCCGCGGTCCGCGGTGGCGCCAGGCCGCGCCCCGGACCCGATGCGCTTGTCCGTCGGACCTGCCGTGGACCGTGGTCCGTGGTCCGTGGTCCGTTGACCGTGGTCCGGCGTCCGGCCATCCTGCCGCCGACCGGCTCCTGGACCGGCGCTGGCGGCGGGCCAGCAGGGCGGCTGGATTTCCAGTGCTTTTCCTGAGCACTGGCTGGCGTCCGGTGGGCGGGTGGCCGCTGATGTGGGACGGGGCGCCGCCGTGCAGGGCTGTCGCGGCTCGGCAGCGGGCCGCTGAACGGCAGCAGCACCTGGTACAGCGTTGGGCGGCTGTTCACGGCGGGCTGTAGTTTGAGCTGTATCTGGCCGTGGCTGACCCTGCCTCGTTTCCGTTTTGTTTTGGTGTGGAGGTGGGACCACGCAAGTGCCCCCCGCCCAGCCTGACCGCGCCCACCTGAAGCCGAGTCGCCGGGCTCCCCGGCATGTCTGTGCCGGCTGCGGTCGCCCGGCAGGCCCGGGTCGGTCTCGAACCTCGGAAAGGTGTCCTGACTCTTTCGGCTGGCCAGCGGGGCCGGCCGGCGCCCTGACCAGGGCTCTCAGCCCAGCGTCCGCGCTCCGGCCCGCGGGGTCGGCCGGCGCCCTGACCAGGGCTCTCAGCCCGGCGTCCGCGCCCCAGCCAGCAGGGCCGGCCGGCGCCCTGGTCAGGGCTCTCAGCCCGGCGTCCGCGCTCCGGCCCGCGGGGCCGGCCGGCGCCCTGGCCAGGGCTCTCAGCCCAGCGTCCGCGCTCCGGCCAGCGGGGCCGGCCGGCGCCCTGGCCAGGGCTCTCAGCCCAGCGTCCTTGCTCCGGCTCGCGGGGCCGGCCGGCGCCCCGACCGGGGCTCTCAGCCCAGCGTCCTTGCTCCGGCCCGCGGGGCCGGCCGGCGCCCTGGCCAGGGCTCTCAGCCCAGCGTCCTTGCTCCGGCCCGCGGGGCCGGCCGGCGCCCTGGCCAGGGCTCTCAGCCCAGCGTCCGCGCTCCGGCCCGCGGGGCCGGCCGGCGCCCTGGCCAAGGCTCTCAGCCCAGCGTCCTTGCTCCGGCCCGCGGGGCCGGCCGGCGCCCTGGCCAGGGCTCTCAGCCCAGCGTCCTTGCTCCGGCCCGCGGGGCCGGCCGGCGCACGGTCCGAGAACCGCCAGCCGGGCGCCAGCGTCCCGGCTCCGGCGCCCGGTCGACCCCGGATCGATCCGCAGCTGTCCAGTTAGCGTTGTGACCTGCCGGGGCGCGTCTGATGGGCGCCTCATCGACCGGTCGAAAGGTCGGCCGCGGCCAGATTGGTGGGCCGCTCGTGCCCGCGCGGCCGGAGGGGCTCCGCCTGCTGACGGGCGGGCGCCGCCGGGTCCGCGGCGCCGAGCGGCCCACCGGCGGGTCGGCACTGGGGCCTCGGGCCGGCCCACTCATACCGGTGTGGGGTGGTGCCTAGGTACGCGTACAGCTTCCAGCTGCTTATAATCATTGCGATGCGTTTTTATTTGCGCGTGGCAGCCTCCGTCATCATTCTACGGCTCTTTCATAAAAGGACATTCATGAGGTAGCTGAAATGGGACCAGGTAAGGAACATTGAGGTCGTATCGATACTTAACGTGAGTGTTTACATTGGTAGAATACCAAAGTCAGGTGGGCTTCACGCATGCAGTTGGGCTGTGTGGGAACGCAACTGGGCGGCGATACCGTACGGTGCAGTTTTTGTGTGGTCTGGACATGGTATCAGGCCGTCATGTGCCCGGTTCGGGTTCTCACCATATTATCACCACGTATTGCCCGGTAAAATACTCACCTGCGATTGATTCTCCTGGTGCAATCAAATCGTGCGATCCTCCCGCCGTCTTCAGCGAACCAATCGCGCCACCTTCCGCTTGTTTTCCATTTGCCATCTGGTCACCTGCGAATGAGCTACGCCTGACGTCAGGTTCGAGCTGGGTGGCCGCTTTTGACGACGTGCCGCGACATTATCTGATCCGGCGCTGCTGACGTGCTAACGCCCCACAAAGGCCTGCGTCACCACTCCTTCAGTCCGCCGGGGCTATCGCCGGCGCAGCCGACCTCGCGGCTGTCAGGTGGCTCGTCCCCGGGTGCGAGTCGGGCACGAGCCGCCGCGCGCCGCCGCCGGTGTCGAGCGGCGCCGCCTCTCACAGCTGGCGCAGTCACAGTCCGCGCGGACTGCGCGGCCTTTGGTCGGCTCGGAGGGTCGGTCGTGTACCGGACCCTGCCACTGCTGGCTCACGCAGAGACCTGCCGTTGGCCGCGCCGGTCCCGCCCCGCTGATAGATCCGGATCACGTGTGACTCACGGTCGCACTCACTCGCCTCCGACTGAACCTCGCAGCCTGGCGCTTGAACCACGGACCGTCAACCCTGCACCCGAACCCCCGCCGTACAGCGCCGCCTGCAGCGGCCACCGCCGGCCGGCTTTCCATTTCGGCCACGCGCAGGCCGGCCGGCCGTCGACGCCGGCGCTGGGCGTCGGGCCGGGCCGGGCCGGGCCAGGCCGGGCCGGGCCGGAACCGCGTGAGGCCTGCCGCCGATGTAGGCCGGCCTGCGCCTCCGGGCTCGCCCCGGCCGTCACGGCCACTTCACACGCGCCGACGGGCCCAATCACGGCCGCTCGCGCTGCCGCCGCCGCCGCCG